GGGCATAGAACATTTTAAAGTGGAGGACAGGTTTTAACTGAAAATGTGTCAACATCTTATACTCACGTTCAAGGAGAATTACAAAAATAAAAACACACGTCACACATGGTCTCTCTGTTCTACAGTTAGTGGTGAAGATGTCTGTGCGTGGACCAACAGTCGTGGTGAGGAAACACGAGTGAAGAAACAGGCTGTGGTTCCATGCAGTAATGTCACAGTTTTGTACTTGTCCGAGGACGAAAGGACGTCTTGTTTAGAAAATGCAGGTCAGAAGTATTTGTTAGTTTGGTTGGTTATAACATGGCTGCTTCTGTAGAGTTGACAGGTTTTCAAAGTGAATGACAATTTTAAACTTATTTTAAGCAATATAAAATGTGTCAACATTTCATTGAAATGACACACTTTCACTGTGCACTCTGGAGAGAAATAATGCCAGCCAGGGCATTGACACCTAATCAATACCAAAAATAGAAAAAAACAATGAACATCAATAGAGGAATGAGAAATGAAAAATGTATATTTTTCTGTTTCCACTTAATTCAAGCTGAAAATGGAATGAAATATTCAGAGCCAAATGTCACATAGAATTAGTTCAACTACTGAACATAAATATGACATTTTGGTGTCTACAAATAATCATAAATATCATAAATATGACATTTTGGTGTCTACAATCTACATTTATCAAACTGTATTAAGTAAGTTCCCGGCTATAGTCGCCTCTCTGGGCTATATTTGGTGACCACACTCTCGACCTCACACTAAATGGAGGTATTGGAGACAAGAAGAAGTTCAAAGGTTGTTCAAACAGATGGTGGCGTCCATAATGATGTACTGGACATTCTTCCTTCTCTGACAGCTTGTCCTTCAGCCTCATGACCCACAGCCTGACTACAATCACAGTCTCTGTAAACCCAGAAAACAAGAACGCTGGGAAATGGCACCAAGATTTAAGTTTAATTCTCTCACCCGTGAGGTCCTGGCTCCCCTCTTTACCATTGGTTTAACATTGAGCTGTTACTTTCTCCCCCACTCTCAGTAAATAGTCTTGAGCTTTAGTCACTTTGAGCTGCTTGATTGCACCAATCTCTGTCTTCCATGTGAGCAAGAAGCTCCTGAGGCCCACAGAGCTGAACACTGACGATGGCACCAGCAGCTGACTGATTACTATCTTTAGACCAAAACGGACCAAGGAGAAATGGAAAATAAAAATGAGGTGGTAAAGACACTGAAGTACTTTGTTTTCCACCATGCTGCTGTTGTGATTTGACCTAGTCCAGGAGGGAGTGATGTGTTAGCAGCTCTACCAAACCTGGCACCAATAAGAAATCCAACTCTACAGGGATCTACACACTTTGACATAGGAGGCAGAAATGGGGAAAATTGGGAGCGAATCAAGACAGGCTTATGGTTAGCCTATGATGAGGGATTAGACCTCGACAAAAAAAAGGGGGGTGGACACATTTGTCTCTCGCCTTGCAGCATAAGCTAACACATTTCCCTCCAGCAAATCTATGTTTACATTTAGTAACAGATAAGATGCCATGCTAAATTTAAAGTCCATAGGGGAGGAAGGTAAGATTGAAGTCATACTCTGTAATAATGCTGGCAGTACAGCAGTGGGTCTGACAGTAACGATGCCTTGGAGTCCAATACTGTGATGATGCTTATATAACTTTGAGGAAGGGCGATGGAAAAACACATATCACAGTTATTTTTATTTCTTGGTAATTCAGTGTATACACAGAGGAATCACTGAATGCACCACAGCGGTGCTGGAGTTCACGTTGAAGAATAAATAAAAGGTCATTGACAACTCCTGCAGGAACCAATGTTTACACTTTTGAACCTCAGTTCCACAGTTCAACGTGTGCCTCATACATGTACACGTCATTCACTTATTTATTTTATTTTTTAGGTTTTACTCTTCACTCTTGAACCATGCTTACCACTTGACAACAGCAGCATCCAGGATCCAGCAGATTATAGCTAGAGTGTGTGTCAGTGATGGAGGAAAAAAACAGGCCCAGAGATGTGTAGCCATTTGCTCGAGTCAGTCAGGGTGAAAGGATGTGGGAAAGAAAAAGGAGGGAGGATTAGGAGGAGAGGATGACGGTGGAGGAGAGGAGTCAGCCGAGTGGTCACAACAACAGTTTAGAATTGTGGATTTAATAGCACATAGGTTTACATTACAGTAAAAACTTTGTTTTCAGTCGCGGCCTTCAAACCTAGACTGTTGTACTGAGTTTCACTCACAGCCTGGGCTGGGAAGAGTCACCCTGTGGTCACAAATGTTAATGAAGGCCTTTGATTCCATCCGGGAGCTTAATGAAAAATGGTTGGACCCTGTCACTCTCTGTTTAGCACCTCCACACTATAATAATTAAAATAATAATAATAATAACACACTCATCTGCCCTCGCTAAATGCCAGGGCAGGAGTTCTGTGTCAATTTGTAATGTGGCACTTTTGACCAATGAGGCTTCAAATATGGACTGTTCCCATATCTGACTGCTTAAAGGGCAGATGCAAAGTAGATAAAAGGCCAAATGAAGTGAGAAGTCATCACCAACTCAGAGTCGTCGTCTCTACTTTGCTGCTTCATGAACTCAAGAGTGAAAGAAAGTGTGAGCAGCGTGTGAGTGTTCACCTCCTCCTCAATTCTCTTTTTATATTTCCTGCAAAGCAAAACTTTCTGACAACAACAACAATCAATAACAACACGTCTCGTGTAACATGTATACAGATGACTGTGTCCACTCCTTTTTTACGGTCTATGATTTACAAACAGATGAACACACACATTTTTTGACAAGAGTTTCCATCTTTTATGCAGACCACATTGATAGTGTCTCCTCCCACTCAAATTACAAACACACACACACACACACACACACACACTCTCTCTCTCTCTCTCTCTCTCATCCTGGCTGGCTGTTTTGATATGCTTGGCCTTGTAAGTCAGTGAAACAGAACTGAAAGAGGGACTTGTGCTGCACTGATGAGACAGTAATTAGTACCAACTCCTGAGGGAGTTGAGATAGACTTCACACAGGTTGACACTCGCTCTATCTCGGTCTGTCTGACTGCGTGTCTGGCTCTCCCTCGTCCTCTGCAGCCATTAAAGCAGCAGCAGCAGGTCTCTGCTGCTACTCATGCTCCAACCTCATTATTTCCAATTCAAACACACACACACACACACACAGCCTCATCACACAAGTCATTAGTTCAGCCCAACTTATTCTGCTAACTTGGGTTTAGTTCGGTTGCAACACACAGTTCTGAGGAGGATAAGATTAAATCAGAAATGGACAAAGCACTTCTTTCATCATTCTGCTTTTTCACTCCTTTCCTCTTCTGATTTTTCCCCCCTGTGCATTCAGTTTGTGATAGGCAGCATCTCTGCAGAGATGATGTATATTCATCCGGCAGATAGACACGGTGTCATGTGTGCTGCTTTTGCAGCAGGGTGGGACGAGGACTCGGGTGAAGTGGCCAGAAAGATTCTGTTGACTTGAGCAGTTTTTCCCCAGAATGATTGAAAGTGTGTGTGGAAGGGAGCAGAGTGCTGGGAATCTCTTTACTGCTGTTTCAGGGCTTTTCCAGACTATAGATAGATAATATTTCACCAGCTATGCTTCTGAGTTTTGTTTAGGGGAATGGATTTTAGTGTGGCCAAAATGTTGTTGTTGTTTTTGTGTGTCTCACTGTAAAGAACATTCTGTCTTATGGATGTTTGTGAGGATGTTCAGAAATTCCCAGTAGCTCAGAGCAAAATGCCAAAGGTTTTCATGACTGGAGATTTAACGAAGCTTCACGAAGTTTGAATGTGCAAAAAAAGAGAAGATGTTAATTGGAGGACTTCTGTGACGATGCCTTTGTCATGTCACGGCAGTTATTTCTAAAGTTTGCCTGTCACAGTTAGACTTTCATAAAGTAAAGTGGACAAGAGACACGACATATACTTCAGAAACCCAACCAACATGTGCTCCCACATTTCGAGCTGTCACACTGTTGGAAAACAGATGGTTCTTGTTGCTTCTGCAGAGCCGACAATAACGCAGAGCTGTGACACAACTCCAGTGTGAGTGTTGTAACGTTGTTTACTAAAGATTTGTGGCTTTTCTGTCCAAAAACCTTCTGTTTCCTGTCTAAGCCTGTTGTCTCGACTGGACAAAGACATTCTTATTATCATCCTGTACATTTACTCCTAGTTGAAACTATTAGTTAAGGAATGGGAACTTCATTGTTGATATGTTATGCTTTGACCTAACTGGACTGTGAATATTACTTCTTATCTGAATACAAAGTATTTTCTTGACTTGTTTAATAACGAGGGACATTTAAGTTTACAGCAATGTAGAAGTCTCAGTGCATTTGTCTTCAAGTGCACATTAAAAGAAGAATGTTTTCCAAACCCAATTGGTGCTGTTTACCTATGTGAATGGGATTAACTCGGTTGGGATTAACTGTTCAGATTAGCCTAGTAAACTCATTTTAAATCCAAACGAAGCATCTTCCTGATAAACAAGCTTTGAATGAGTGTACTAGACAATATGATGGACAGAATCTTTCTGTTGGTTTTTTTCCCAACAGCAGAGATGAAGTTTGGATTCAAACATTTTTTTTATTTGTTTTTTTTCTCCAGTAAAGTCTCTTTCTAACTTTGGTCCAACTGCTGTCTTTTCACAGCGTTTCCCTCTTTTAGCATTGACTGCACTGTTGGGCAAAGTGATGCTAATAAATTCAGCCCTAACAAGGCTACAATTGGCCTATTGATTCCTTGTCCTAACTTCCTTGCCACTGCAAAAATGGTCTTGCATGGTTGCAGTTTAGTGACGCAGCACATTGACACCAACAGTCTCGGATGCAAATTCACTTTGATTCAGCAGCCACCACTGAAGGGCTTCTAGCATTTCCTGTTAATCAGACAGTACATTTTTCATTTTCTTTTTCCACTAACCTCTTTGCATCTCTGTTGTCTTTTCTCTACCTTGCAGACTGAAGCAGAAGTCTCAGTCGGTGGATATTGCCAGTCAGGGATTCTCCCCGACTCTGGTACCAGCCTCACCCCTCAACAGGGCAGCATCCCCTGTTGCCAGGACAACTACTGTCCTCGCAGTGGAGGAAAACAACACCACTAACTCCCAGCGGCGCAACCCCCGCTGTGCTGAGCTGAAGAGAGGCTACACCATAGGTAAATGACAAACAAATTACATTGAATACACGCCGGGTTTTCACATGTTGGAGAAATATTTGGTAGAACCTGCTGCACATTTCCTTTCTTATTGCCTCTGTCATTGACAGTAATATTTTCACATAGATTATTTAATTGTGATGGGGATTTTTTAAACATTGAGCCAAAGCAGTTAGCTGTTGTTTTCTCTCAGGTTGCTTCACTGTTGGAAATCATTGTGAATACTGGTTATCAAAAGGGGAAATAAAAGAAAGTGTTAAATGATATATGTGGAACCCGTGTGTCCAAGATCTGTGGACAGCTCTTATAAAAAAGCCTTTGAACACAGAACGACTGTTTTGCTCACAGTGGGCTGTATCAATGTTTCCCAAGCTTTTTTGCTGGGGACCCATATTTTAAAAGACACAAACCTTCCGACCCAAGTCAATAGACATTATTTGTAAACTCCTGGGAAACATGATGCGAGATGACCCAAAAAAGAAATCTCATCGCCTGGGTCGCAACCCACCTGAGGGTCGCGACCCAGGCTTTGGGAAACAGTGGGCTAAATTGTAAAATAGAGAAGGTGATACCAACATCAAATGAAAGTGTTAATGAAGGAGTGTCCTCCGGTCAAGACATTGAGACAGAGTCAAATATCTTTTGTTTGTTGTTTTTTTTTTTACATGTGGGGTAAAATATAATTTGTCAGCAATTTGTTAGGAGATTACAAATAGGACTGTCAAATCAACATGTTAATTTGTGAAGATCAATTGGATTAAATCTCTAGTATGAATAATAATGCTTAATTACATTTGTGATTAACCAAGATTAATGATGGCAAGATTAATGGATCAAGGAACGTGTTCTAGGGGCCCAACTTTGAGAGGGGCCCAAGATCCATAGCGGCGCCCCTGTTGATGACTAATGGTGTTTACCTCACAAAGCTTATTCACCACTTGAACTTTAAATTCTTTTGATTTTAACATTCAGACACTAGTCTTCTCCTGTGTCTGCTGATTTCGCATTTGATCGGCTTCCTGTAGAGTCATCACGTATCGACACTCTTCCACAGGCCATCCTCCTTGATCGAAGGATGGATTGGGCTACAGTCGTCCGTGTCAATTCAGTCGGCAATAATCGATAAAGGAAACTGTAGGATAAAGGCTTTGGCAGGAGGACAGGTGAACTGTTTATTGACATTGCAGCTTTTATAAACATCTCTGCAGTCATTGTGAGTGTTCATATTGAAATGCACTGCAGTTTTTCAGCCATCAAATCACCCTCCCTGATTCTCCTCCAGTGTACACAGACTGTACAGTCCATTAAAACACTTTCCATAGTTAGAGTAGCTCTGGATTAGAATAAGTTGTCACAGCATGAAGTGCTGTCATTTATTTTGCTTCACCACATAATGGGATGTTGATTAGTGACCGGGGTCTCCACTTCCCATCTGCAGGACGTCCCGTGGTGTCGTTACTTACCCTCAAACCTGGGCCAGACGCCTAATGTAGGGCTGATAATGCTGATTTATTCTAATGGGAATATAATAATATGGCAGGAAGCTTGCTGTGCTGTCTGTCAGTAGTCAGGAAGGCCAGTCATTGGAGACACATCGAGCTTCCACCGCTGACGTTTTAATAACCAGGAATGATGAGCCTCCTACCAGGACGGTGTTAACCGTAGGTCTCTTCTCCTGAAAAAAAGCAGTGATGGATTCACTTTCTTGACGGCTCTCTCATGTGCAGCAATCTCTCTGCCATCTTCTTTTTTTAAAGCTAACTTGAAGAAGTGTGTTATATTAACATGCGATGATGAGTGTTGTTGCCTGTGGTGTTGTTAATAGAAGGAAATAAAAGACATGCATGATGTTAGAGAGCACCATTTACTTTACAAAATTAGACTTTTAAACTCAATGTAAACATGTTAGTTTGACGGAAGCAGCGTTAGAGCAAATAACACAAATGTTGTTAAAGGATTTCACTCCCTAAGTCAAACTCTGTGATAGTAAAGGATTAATTTAGGGGTTTATTGCTCAAGTTATGAGTCTGCACTTTTGGGGCTTCTTCTTCTCATCTCCCAACAGTATTGCTTCTTATTAGACTGAGCATGAACTGGTTTCCCTTTCCACTCTCTCCAGTCTTTGCTTTTTCTTCTCTGGGTTGAGTACTGGTGTCCTTATGAGTAACATTACCGCCCCCTACTGGGTTTATTTTCTTAAAGGTGAAGAAAATTCTACAGAAATGCTAAAAATGGATGGTAAAGAAATGGTTAGAAAAAGGAAATACACCAGGTAGTATTTAACTGTAGAGTTAAACGAAACCTTAAAAGAAAGAATTTAAGATGAACTGTAAACATGTTTCATCTCACACTACGTAAATATAGTTACCTGGAGAAGAAAGAAAGGTTTGAGCTGTCGCAATGCACATGACTGGGTATCAGTAACCTCGCTAATGTGAACACATTCAGGGATATGTAACAAAGAAATGAGAGTGAAATGAAAGGAAAGATGGTGAACAGGTTGAAGACTAGAATTTAAATACATGGAAATAAAATAAAGGTGGCAGAGAAAAAAGGATGGAAGAGTAAAACCTTTGATCCCCTGGATGCCTGCAGCATCGCCTGCTGAGAGGGTGTGACTCCTGACACCCCTCCCTGACTCCCACCATGTCTGCCTGACAGCCTCTGAGTCCCACTATCATGTCTGACCTTTACATCATTAAAGCCAACCTGAACTCTGCAGGATGCAGGCTGAGAGAACACCAAACATGAGCAGCGGGCTCATTAGGTATGACTTTTGTTTTCCTGTCTGCAATGAAAACAGTTTTGATTAGACTCTGTTCTGAGAGAATAAACAAACACACTTCTCTCTTTGTTTTTCTGGAGCTCTGAGTGTGGTGCTCAGGTGTCATGCTCATGTGTGGTTTTCCCCTGTTAACGAGAGATGCCAAAAGCCTTACCTTTGCATAAATCTGCAGTCATTTCTGCTCCGAAAATTTCACATTGTTATTTAGGGTTTTAGCTCAAAATAACGTGGAAAAACCCAACAGTAGTTATTTAGTCAGTAAATCTGTCTTTCCTATCTGACAATGTTGAAGTTAGCTATCCTGCCAACAGCTAACACATCATCTATATATATATATACACACACACACACTAGGTAGAAATAAATCGGTCTTCTTCCACATTTGTAAACTGTGTTGACTTTTGACACAAATATACAGTGCTACTTCAAAGTCCAGACTCGACTGCATCTACAGCAGCTCACAGTACAAATGCTAATTAGGACAATACGATGAGTAACGTGATACAGCAGCAGACTCCACTACTGCTACCTGGTGACTGATTATTCCCCTGTTAGTAATTCATTGGACTTCCACTGCAGGGCCGAAGATGAGGGAAACCAGTGCTGGTGAAGCAATCCACCAACTAACACTTAAAATGCAGTTTCATGATAGGGACTCAGGGACTTACGTAATTACCAGCCATTCAATTTATTGAAGGACTAGTCAGGGGAGCTGTAGAGGGGCTGCACTGTTGCTTCTGATGCATGAATTTGTTTGGACACACAGCTGGAGCACTTGTTCTTGGGAAAAGCATTTTCATGTATTCAGTTGGAGCTGTATAGTCGCACCAGGTTGACCTTTCAGTGGCTAATCGCTATGAATGTTGACAGTTTTAGCCAGCGCTGCAGGCGATACACTGGTGTCCGTCCCTTCTTTTATTAGATCTAATAGTCTCAGGTGGTGCGCATGTTGTGTTTACACATCACAGGAAGTAGCCAGGGGTGGCAATTACCCACAAACCACTGGGAGACATCTTTTCTGTAGCCTGATCACTCTGAATACTGTGGCCACTTTAAACAGGGATAAAAGATTGTATTTACCTTGTTTGCTAATATTTTCTGAATTTAATGTTTATATTGCTAAACTAGTACTTTGATTGTTAAGAAATTAATAAAAATGATACTTTGCGTACTTTGTTATTGAGTTAATACTACAGGTCCCACAGTAGAAGCTGGGTAGAATGACACTGTCCTGGTACCGGACATTTCTTTGCAAGCCAGTGCCTGGTGTAAAACGAATCCGTTTCTGTTGATGTACATGATGTAGATGAGTTCCCCTGAACCGTTTAAGGCACTTGGTGTCAGGATTTCACAGTATTTTATGGGTAAATGGCTATATAAATGTTAATAGGCTTTTCTCAAGCTATTATGTGACAACGTTTATAATGTTACAGCCCGAGTAAGAGGGAAAAAGTTTTTTGCAAACTTTTTCATTTCCTTATATATCACTGTGCATGACAATGCTTTTAGAGCTTAACCGAGCAGTAACGCAGCCTTCACAGGGGAAGATCACAACCTTCAGTTTTTTTGTTTTTTCGAACACTAAATATAACAGTTCAGCAAACAGTATCCTCATATGCCTCCTCTCCCTGATGAACTGGATAGTTGGTTGGCAACATGTGCATGTAAGAAAATGTTAAGTGAACCTCCCACTGAGACTAACAAGCAGCTTCCAGAGATACAGTATGCACAGATTTATTTTTTTTTTTTTTGTCCACATTGATTTACTTTCTTCTCCCTACACTGCAGAGAAATGTCTGCCTAATAATAAAAAACAACTACATTTGGCTACAGGTCATCCCACACAAGCATTATTAGAATTTCTTTTGATTTCTTCATGGATCCATGATAAACAGAGGTATTTATGAATAAATGTCAAAAACATCCTGAGTTTCATCTGAAAACTCCAGGACATAGTTGTGCACGTTGTGTAGTTTCAGATAAGCTTGAATAAATAGGATGAGTCTGAAGTTGGCAAATGCACATACACTACTTTGCCACTGTGTGGCTGTGATTAGTTTGGTGTTCAAACCGGAGAGTCTCAGCAGCCTTCTGTTTCTTAGTGAAACTTGAAAATGAGGCAGTATGTGATAAACACACTCAGAATTTATTTTTTATTATTTACTTTAAACACAAACACTTCCTTATGGGTAGATTCTTCGACCTATGTGTCTTG